AGGAGTCTGATACCATATGCTATGGGTTTTTTGTTTTTGTGGGACTGTGTATTAAACTATTAAACTCAGGGCCTCATTCATACTAGGCAAGTGCTCTACCATAGAGCTAGCTATACCTCCAGACACTAAGATTATCTTTTTTTTTTTTTTTCCTACCAGGGGTTAAATTCAGGGGCACTTAATCACTGAGCCATGTCCCCAGCCCTTTTTATTTTCTACTTTGAGGCAGGATCTCATTAAGTTGCTGGGAGCCCAAGTTGTTGAGACTGGCTGTGAACTTGTCATCCTCCTGCCTCAGCCCCCTGAGCCACTGGGATTACAGTCATACAYCACCATGCCTAGCTATTTAAAATAATTTTTATTAGTTCATTTTAGTTATACATAATATTATGATTCATTTGACAATTTACAAGCACAGAATATAATTTGCTCCAATTTATCCCCAGTACTTCCCCCTTTCCCTTCCCTCCTCCTTCCCCGTTTCCTTTCCTCTACTCTAGTGATATTTCATCTATTTATTTATAGTTTTTTAAAATTATTACTTTATGGCTATAAAGGTGAATTCACTGTGGTATAATCATATGTGTAAGTAGGAAAGTTTCGTCAGACTCATTCCTTTGCCACTCCTTCCTTCCACCTCCCTCCCCCTCACTCCATTTCCTCTACTCCACTAATTTAYTTTCATAAAATCACAGCCCCACCCCATCTTTTTTTGTCCTTATTTTAATCTAGCTTCAACACATCCGAGAAAACATTTGACCCCTGACAGAATTTCTGAGTCTCGCTTATTTCACTTAACATGATATTCTCCAGTTCCATCCATTTACCAGCAAATGCCTAATTTCATTATTCCTTATAGCTGAGTAAAACTCCATTGTGTATATGTACCACATTTTCTTTATCCATTCCTCTGTTGATGGGCATACAGGTTGGTTCCATAGCTTGGCTATTGTAAATTGTGCTGCTTATAAGCACTGATGTGGCTGCATATCTATAGTATGCTGATTTTGGATGTTTTGGATATGTATCAAGGAGTGGGACAGCAGGGTTATATTATGGTTCCATTTCCAGTTTTTTGAGGAATCTCCATACTGTTTTCCAGAGTGGTTGTACTAATTTGCAGTCCCACCAATGCTTTTATTTTAGGAAGAAGATAATCACCTTTATTTATGCTAATATTTTTTAAAAGTACATTTCACATTTCAAATATAACCCTATTCAATAAAATTCAGCCTTGCTGGGGATGTAGCTCAGTGGCACTGCAACATTTGCCCAGCACTTGAAAGCCCTGGGTTCCAGTTCCAGTAAGGTGGCAGATGGAAGAGATTCAGCCTAATGAAGTGAATGAAGCATTGGGTTAATCCCAAATTTATTTGATAAAACATTTCCATTGACAGTTTTTTGCCAAATCTCTGTGACGCCTCCTCCTAATTTCCATAGTCTGAATTAAGTTCCATGAGCACATATTTTGTTTTGTTTAGTTTCCTTTTTTCTATGTTTCTCATTAAACTTAAAAAGACCTTGTCATACTCATAATCTTTATGTTTGGCATAARTATATGCCTAATAAATATATATTGGTTGTATATTTATAATTTTCAGTATGTTACCTAGCCACATGTCTTATGTACATAAAAAAGTAGATTTATATACATTGTATATGTTACTCACACTATATCCTTGTGTTATTCCCCATGCCAAAATTATTTCTGTTGTCTATTTAGTATCCATCTACTCTACAAATGTTTAGGCAATACCAACAGCACACAAAGTATAGTATTGACAATAGTCTGTACATTTTAGCAGAAATTGTGTTTTAAATATAGCCATGCCTGTGTCTGGTCCATTATTACATCATTTAAGTAAAGACTCAAAACATCAGATATAAAAACTACTATTTTCCCTTTTTGGCAGTCCCTACCCTCTAACGGCTTATACATATTTAATATAGGAATAAATGCATACTAAAATATA